CTCGAGAAAGTTCCCGAAAGGAAGCAAAAGGGTATTTAAAGGAAGAGGCGATCGCCAACAGTAGAGTAGAAATAAATTGACCGTTGCAGAAGTAAATCTAGATATAAATTGACAGCGCAGTAAATAGTGATATAGTAACAGTATTGTAAATAAATAGAGTAATTCATCGCTTAAGTTAGTAATAATTTAATAGTGTCTTTAAGTCCTTTAATAATAATTAGTGTAAATAAATAGTTTTTGTCGTTGTGAGTCTTAAAAGTTAATTTGTTAAACCCACGAACATTACAATATTATTAAATTGAGGGTGTCGGTAGGAAAATATTTGCGAACAAAACGGTAACAATCTTGGTAATAACGACAACAAACTCGACACTATTGCCGACACTTTTGCTTGGCAAAATGAAAAATTACACTCCCAATTGCCTTTATTAGCATTTATTGCAGAGACCTGCATACTATATTTACATCTCATGGGAATCTCTGTCGTTTATTATCCTTACCATATATAAAGCGCATAGTTATTGCAAAATCTATTTCCGAAACTGATGTTTACATTGCCTTGCGAATAACGGCACCCAGTTATTACCTTTAGGAAAGACTTCAACTCCTTTTTAACCTAATAACAAAGTCAGACTCTGTAGTACGCTAGGAGTTCCGCTTTTAAAACATTACCCTGTAGTTTCCTGTTTTAAACAGAGAATATATGTAATTATCTCGAAATAATCTGTCCTTTTAACTATACTGTGATTAACTGAAAATTATCAATTGTATCCCACGCGCATTAATACAGCATATAAGGTAATTTGTTGGCAAAAAAATGCTAATACTATTCATCAGAATACATAATAACCGGCGAGCTACCGCCAAATGATTAGAATAGGTCTTTGACTGTCCAATTTCTATTACTCGATTATAATTTGCATTACGATCTCACCAATGTTGGCAGTAATTCGACTAAATCGGCCATCAAATTCATATTTGTGGTATAAAGCCAATTCAGAAACTCGGAATATGAGCATCTATTGTTACAAGATTATTGAGCAACTTCTGTCCAAGTGAGAGAGAGGCAACAGGTACAGGACACGTGATAGAATCATTCAAAACTAATAAGTTGTATCAAACTAGGATTCCGTGGGTGTTATTTGCAGTAATTTTCAGGATTATGAACTTTCATGGAGTCAATTTATCTGCTGCTGACGTTTCGTCCTTAAACGCAAGAAACGTCTTCGGGGCACTTTTAATGCCGTTAAATTTAATCCTTAATTTTTTAAAACTACTACAAGGAGGAGAACTGGAATCTAATTTAATCTGG